ACTTCCCATCGACGTGTCAGGCCATCTAGAGAGCTACTTCATGAGCTTACAGGAGTTGATAGGTTCTACCAGGTGACTGGACGGAGCTTGGTCCAGCTTCCAAAAGTGCACAGGTTTCATCAACTGAGATTGGTAAACGGAAAGTAGTGAAGCAGTGAAAGTGCAACATGATTCCCCCTCCACCTTGTCGCCGAACTGCGCCCACTTCTCTCAAAGGCGATATGACTCCCCTCGCTCGGGAACCCCAACGTACGACGTGCTCTGGGTGAAACTACGGTAGTGCACTAACCTGCGATCCATCTTCCTCGAAAGCCTCGTCAGTATCGTCCTCTCCTCTGCAGTCAGCAAACAGCTCCGTATCATCTCCTGGACCGCTAATGGTTCGCGAGCTATTACGAGTCCTCGGTGAGAGAGAAAAGAGCTCGTCGCCATCGGAACTTTCACTGTTTCGTGATCGACGAGGACTTGAAATTGGCGTCGTTCCTGTTCGCTCTGGTGACACATAGAGGACGTCATATCGTCGCTCTAGGAACGAGGGCGCGCTTGGTACAGAGCTCGAGGAGCCAAATTCGATCAATTCGCCGCTGGAATTTGAATTTCAATTGAACGAACCGCAGGTAAGGACTTGCTTGGTAGAGAACTTACTTGTTTGCAAATCCCTCGTATGAATCTGCCCAATACGATGCTGGGGTGAAGTCTTCTTGTGCACTCGATGGCGGCTGTAATCAAGAACAACTATAAGCTCAAACCGAAACAGGTCTACGGACTGCTCGCACCCGGTCCATCACCCGCATTAATTTTCTAGCTGTACCACGAAAATCGTTCCTCTTGGAAAGATCGGATATGTGACAAGACAACCGCTATATGCCGCGATAGGCGTGGCAAACGATACTGCACATGCGAGGGACGAGTTGTCCCGCCCGCCCACTCAAATTTGAGTTTACGATTGTCTTGACCTTCTCCCGAAAAGGTCTACCAACAACCTCAACACAGCTCCTTTAATCGCGTCATTTCTTGCTCTTCTCTGCGCTTTTTCGCCAGCAGGACATCGTATCAACGAACCCATTGATTCCACCTTCTCACGCACCATAAATGGCAGTCTAGTGTTCCCTCTAATCCCCTGGCTTCCCACATTTTCACTCGTACCTTTCGATATCTGTCAGAAAAAATCTTCTGTCTGCGTTAGAGAGTTTCCAACAGAAACATGCAGAGAAGGTCATGTTGTCACGCAACCTCTTGAAAGAGCTGATCCCTGCTAAATGTGTTCATTTCATTCCATGTGTTTTTCCTCAACTGGATTCCGAATGTAAGTACACTTGAGGGGAACCGCGCAACGCCGAACCTTTAAGCTAGACAAGCTCAAGGCATAGCAGACAACCAGAGCCAATCCAGGCTTTCAGAGCAGAAATACAGTTGCTCAACCGTTGCTGTAGCAGACGCTATTCTCAACTTGTCTGTACTAGGGTTTCGTGGGACGACCATGAAAAAAGGTTTAAGCAGTCACGTGACCAGATAGTAGAGAAACCAGAGCAAGAAAATTGCAGCATTGTAAGTAGCGTACCTCTGCTGGTTTTGAATCCTCATTTTCATCGAGTAAGAAACTTTCGTCCAGACCTGCTCTCATCGAAGTATCTAACGGATCATCCGTATCATTTTCTTCGAACTCATCATCATCGTCTAGGCCGACTCTAAAAGGATGCACTATGTTGGCATCCAATAAAACGTTTAAATAAGTAGGAGTGTGTTCATACTTTGCGATCCAGTCGCTTGGATCGAACTATCTGCCGCTCCAGCGACTAGAAAGCGATGTGATGAGATTCAAACGCCAAGTATGAACGCGCTCTAAGGCAGTACACTTAGCCATGACAACCCCAGAAAGCCAGTGCAAAACAGAAAATTGATTATTGAGCTAGCTTTCCCTTTGCTGCTCGTTTAGCGCGCTGGAACTCCCTCGGCAACAATGCAAAGAAAGTGCAAAGGCAGCACTTCCAAGGCTATCCCGATTATTTTTACTGTCCGGGACACTTATGAAGCTTTCTTGGAAATCCATTAAATTTTAGTAGACATTAATCCTTTTCCTTTAATCCCTTAATCCTGATATAACACATGATGTATCCGTAGAGCAACAAGACTGTCTCGACTTTTTTTGCCTTGAGACGATTTCTAGTGTACATGCGCAAAATCAATTATGAAATGTCAAACGTTACAGTACTCCTACCCACCGAGCAATCAACATGCACTAAAATAGCTTTATTAAGAGAACTAACTTTGACAGATCATCCGATGAATTACATTTGGCTGCGATGCCAACGCCTGAACTCGACGGTTCGCCTTCGCTAAAAATTGTCTTTCTTAAGAACAAACTTCAGTGAATAGCCCTTTAAAACTGTATCTATTGTATCTATGAAAAACGGTGCCACTCCTATGCAGACCCGCAGTTTGATACGTTTAATGTTACGTGCGAGGATGCGTCACCACTCAATATGTCATTTCATGATACATCAATTACGAAAAAATCACATCATGAAAATGCATCATTTCCATGCCACTTCACCTATTTCTTTTATATTGCCCGGCATTTACTGGTAGAGACGAGGATTCCTACCCAGTTTCAAAGGAAAATGAGCTCAGGTGTGCATGAAAGTGTGTTCATACCCTGCGTCAGCGTTTTGAGCGACTAGGGAAGTGTAGGAATCGATCCAGAATTTAGAGCATATGTCAGTATTTTCAGCGAGTGCTCGCGGAAAGCTTAGTTTGCGCGCGAAAACGCTCAAAATGCTTGGCGTACGCTTGAAACTCTGGATCGATACCTATACTTTCTCAGTCCCTCAAAACGCTCAAGACCTTAGCAAACGCTCAAAACGCCGGTAGAAAGTGTGAACGCACTGTAAGCCATTTCACTCACGGAGAACGGTTTTTCGTTCCGTGAGAATGGCTCCCCTTCGCAGAGCTCTATTCCACCTTCACGTCAATAACGAGTCATTAGAGAAGAATATCCCGCCACTTAACTGGACTACGGGCCGATACAGGACTAGCCTGGGAGTGATTAAAGGGAATTCTTGGACTAACATGACACTGGGCGGAGCACTATGCGTCGAGTTCCTCCTGTGTCCAGCTGTCCACGTATCCAGCATATGTTGCAATCCATCGATAATTCTGAAAAAACCCTCAGTACATCAAAGCCAGCTTTTTTCTTTAACCTTACAATTACAGAAGTTCAAAATGAAATTGGACATGTTTTAATTTGTATTTATATACTGCAGGTCTGTTACGAGGCGGACGCTGGCCTCTTTCAGGAGGTGGATATGGCGCGAAGTATTCTGTTTTCACCAGTTTAGTCGGAAGCGGGTTAAGTGAAAAGCTGGACAGATACGTTTCAGGCCCCGCGCCATAGGCGAGATCATCTGGGTGGATGGAAGACACGCCCAACCCATTGCATGGGCAGCGAACAGAACTTTAACAATGTTAGAGTGAAGCCCTGTGTCGTGAGCGAGAATCTTTTTCTCCAGGCAGACAGCAAACCCCAAATGTATCTCTGCGCTTATTTACTCTCAGCTGTTCACATATTAGGCCAACGTTCTATAACTGCGACCGACCGCGCTCCATCGCTAGCCATTGGACCCTGCAACTCCTAATCCAGCAACATCCAGAATAGAGCCCCTTCATTTCAGTTCAAGCAGCAGTCGGACAATTATAGGTAGAGCGCTACCCAAATCGCTCAACTGAATCGCTCGGGAAGTATGAGGGCGGCCTTATGCAGTTCTTTCTTGCCTCAAACTTCATTAAAAAAGTCTTACTGCTCAGCGTCTTCACTATGATCGGATTCTTGGCCGCTGTCTTCCGCATCGTCCTCCTCCGAGTCTTTTTCAGGCATACAACATCCTGTTGGAAGCTTTTCAAAATCCACCGCATCTGTGACGACACTCTCCAAGTCACTTCGACCATCTGATTCACAGACCTTCAATGAGAAGCGTTATCAAATTCCTTTAAAAACTATCTCTTTTCAAACAGTTCCAGGCGCTAACGTAGTCGGGGCGGGGGGTAGGGGAGCACTTGGCCACGCTTCTCTATCCCTTCCCCGAGAAGGCTTAGTCTAACAAGGCTCGCCAAAAGACAGCCTCGCACAGAAGACATAGCTTGCACTGAACCTATGCCTCGAGTAGCCTGTGGCGAGCGGTCCTCCCCTCCCAACTACGAGCGCCCAGTTTCACTTGAAATACCTGTCCATCCTTTATTCTCAATCCAGACAACTTTGAGTTGGCGAAAGTGGCAATAAACGGACCAAGCTCTTGGAATGCCGTGTACCACACCTGGAAGTATAAGCAGAGCTAAACTATGAAATACATTTAAGAGCATAGTAATGGTTAGAGACCCACCCAACGCGACGGGTCATGAAGCAGTTTCACAAAAGTCTGAGCCAGTTGTGTTCGTCGAATATTCGGTGAGGTATGACGGGCTACTTCAACGAATACTTCGCATACCGCCTTTCGAACGCCCCAGTTCGCATCCATACAAAGGTACGACAAGTGTGGAACGATGAACTGAAATCACAGCTGATTAGGTGAAGGAGTACCTGACATCTAACGGTCACTTCTGCATTTCAACCACTCCAGAATGAGAATGCAGAATGAAAGAGGCAATCCGACAGGGGTCAGAACAGGAAATTCTTTGAAATACTGCTACTAGTCAGATTCCAGATTCTCCATATTTACCCATATTTTCCCATGTGTTTATTTTTGTTTGATCATTCCGCTAAGCGGCTTTTTTCCCCAAATTTTGCGCGACCTGTATATTGCACACAACAGACGTTGTTGCATACTCCGCCCCAGATGACTCCACCCCTTTTTGCTGCGACACAATACACACTCACATTACAGACATTATATTCTCCGTATTCTTTGAAAACCTACCACTTCTTGTGTTGTGGGACAGCGCTCATAATCGGTGATCACGGACTTGGCACTCAGCGGCAGGGCACGTCACACGCTGGGGCTCCCAGGCGAGGGGAATCGTAGTAGCTGCCAAAGGCGGAGGTTCGCACCTGCTTATGCAATAAATGTTTTCGGTTGTTATTCTACTTGATCTATTCTACTATCTATCTATCTATTCTACTTGTTATTCTACTGGTTGACTTTCTTGGTAATTCTACTCTCAAGGGCGCTGTATCCCCTCTTTCACCCCAAAGTAGTTTCTTTGGAAAAAACTCAACGATTTCTCCTCGCGTTGAGCATTTCTCGATGGGATGGTAGGGGCATCCTGATCTTGTTTTGCCGTGGAAGGCTGGCGATTTTTGAAAGAAAAAAATCTACTCATCATTATGGTGTACCCTGCTTGCGAATGGAATGCTCTCATTGCATGTGCAATGAAATGCACTTTCGTTTATGAAAAAAATGTTGCTCGGTGCGCATAAATTTATCGTGGAAGGTTTTGCTGGCGTTGTTTTTGTGTTATTAGCGTGCCATTTGTGAAGGAAAATTCACTTATAAAGCATGAAGGTGATGTAAGCGAATAAGGGGTATAACTTAGCTTTTGCCACTTCAATGGAAAGGATTCACACAACCATCATGACTGGGAGGGCAAACGCGTCCTCATAAGGTGTACAGATCCTGATGTGTGAAACGGCGTAATCAGAACGACCCTCTTCCACACCCCCCCCCGTCTCTTTCTGCCGACCAGCTTCCCATTCTTACCCACTATCTTCCTGAACTTTCGAAACTTCCTACCACTGCATCCGTGAAAGGGGAAAATTGGGGAAGTCAACAACTGGACAAACTCCTATCTAGGCCGGATACAACCCAATTAACCAAATACGACCCAGGCGCAGTTTTCGGTGACGGGGGGAAGGCCTTTGCAACTTCCAGCTTTAGAATGTTCACACTAGTGAAACTTATGATAACTGCGAGGCAAGTTCTCCTAGTCGCATAGTAAAAGTGTATACTTCAAGAAAAGATTATTCAGATGGGGTTCGACATCATCGAATGGGAAGCAAAAATCCTCACCCCCCCCCGGCCTAACTGCGCCTAGGACCCATATCCTCAGGCGACCAATTAACCAGCTTATTGGGATTTTTCCAACGATGCTGTACCCAGGTCCCATAATGAAAGAAAGCTGTCGAATTTCGGGCACTATTTACGCTTCATGTCTCCGCCCTTCGATGTTTTAATCAGATTTAGCTGAACTTCGTCTCCCAACGGGAAACCCCATGGATTTGCAACGGATGCTGGTGCCAGCGTGGGGAATCCGTGGTAGAAGAGGTCTCTGTTGCGCCACTGCAAGGCGTTTCCGCACCAAAGGTAGTCACTATTTGCATACTGTTAGTTAACTTGTGCAGGTTAGCATCCCAGTCAATTAAATATCTCAAACCCAAGGCTGAGCCCTAAAGAGGTTCTCGTCTTATCAGGCGTTTACGGATTTACTGTATGGGCCTATATTAAGACCAATCCTAGTCCGAACCACACAAGAGAAACGCCAGGCTTCAATTTGAAAAAATCGAAGCCGCCGACCAGACGGTCTATCTGTGTTGGCTATGTTTTGTGGAACTGTTTGTCCCTCGTCGCAAGGGAGAAAGAAGCAGTTGAATCTGGTAGACAAGCTCTTTTTGTTTTTTTGGCGACTACTTTCGCTCAGGTCAAAATGAACAGGTTTCGTGAACAGAGTACATTTTCACAAATGGGAAACAACGTTTCGCAATGCCTATTAGAGACCGTTGGGAGCAACAGCCTCACACCTCCCCTTCCAGGTTTTTAACCAATTGCAATACATATTCTGCTCACTCTGAAGTCAAGCATTGCTGGATCGTAGGAATCGGGGGCAGAGCGCCGTTGTGTAGAAGACAAAGGTCTATTTTGCTGTGTGGAACTTTTTCCAATTGTTGATTTTCCTGTCTTGTGTGCTCTACTAGCCGCACTGTTGGGAGAATCTGAGGGGTCGTATTTAGACGTTGTGATGGGGGGGGTCTTACCTGGAGAGGGCGGGGCTCTATCTCGCGTTGAGAGAAATTCAGAATAGACGCAAAAAACTCTTGCGATTGCACCTTTTCTCGATTTTTCCCCTTTTCGTAAGGGTTATGCACTCCCCTCACCCCTTCCTTCCAGTTCCCCCCTCTCTAGCTACCGGCGCTGCAGAACTGCTACGCGTCTAC